TAGGTAGGTAGTTTTTTTAACGTCAAAAATATCATTGAATGTTCTTGAATTAACTATTGGTGATATTGGTGAGATAATACTATTGCTTTCTTTCAAGTGGTGACATTTGTAACTGACAAAACACTTGTACTGTGTGTTGAAACAATGTTGTCAAAGAAGGCCACCATTGCTGAAACTAAAACTAATACTGAAGCCAATGAGGGAAATTGGGGAAAATTCCGGAAATTTGAAAATTATCAAAAAAAGTTTAGGGTCGGGGGTATAAAATAGGGACAGTCGGGTAACCGGAACCACACATATTTTTTTATTTGGCCTTATTAAATTATTCACAATATACAGACACTGTGAAAACAAATCCCCATTATTTTGTCATTACAGTAAAACATGCTTATAAGTGCCAGGGACAAATAATTTTGATTCATTATAAATGTATTCATTTTTCAGTTTAGTTTTCAGTATGTTTTAAAACCACAGGGAATGAAAATCACTTCACTATACCCTTCAATTCCTTATTTAAGTCTGTTCGCAGTAAGCATGTTTTACTGTATAACGCAAATACCACTCTAAGTTTACATACCCCAATCATAAAAAATTCTATTTTCTAATTTCAAGAACTAATTTTTTACTAAACAATGTTTTACATGGTAATTAATCTAGTTCATTATCTGTAATGGTAGCCTAGTTGTAGGGCATTCATTTTGTAATCAGGAGCCCTGGGCTTGATTCTCATTTGCTGTGTCAAACCTAAGACATAAACATACAGGTAATGAAGGTTCCTTCACCAAGTGCAAAGCATTAGAATGAAAGTCAAAGGTTTTTCAGATGAGACCTTAAAAACCTCTCAGTAGATGTTGGGACAATAAAGAACCCTCACTACTCAATGGGCCTTAGTGCCAAGTATTAAGGTCTATGTCTGAAGCCCTTCACCAGTATGTGGTAATGTCTCTATACGAGAGAAAAATTCTCAAGTAAGATGTAAAACAACATACAATCAATCAAAGTGTCAGTAAGAAGCTGATCCTTACGTTGCAGGTTCGAATCCCACAGCTGGATGTGGAGATAGGTTCCTCGGATGAAACCATATGAACCGAGGTTCCGTATCACAGAAGGTGCTGGCACGAAAAAGATCCCTCACTTCCCAAAGGCCGTAAGTGTCAAGTACAGGTCTATATTTGCAGGCCTCCACCAGCAAGTGGTGGCATAATAATATGACTAAAAAAAATTTGAAGGGGCAATAAACAAAACACAAATCAATCCTGCAGTCTTATCACAGAAATAATTCAAACTTTTATGTATAAATATATTTCCAAATTTCTTTTGCAATTTAACTGAGTGACATTTTTGAGATTTTCCAATAATAATACACATTTACTAACTGGGTTCGAGGGCAACATGTGTTTTGTCGGACCCAAGAACCAAACTGTTTGCCTGAGGCCATTAGGCCGAAGGGAAACAGTTTGGATCAAGGGGTCAGCAAATTGCATTTTACCCCGAGAACACGGTCAATAAATGTTTTGTTATATCTTTTACTTTCTTTTTTTGTTTGACATACATGTATTTTGTGCTGGCTTCCATGATGTAAATTTCCTTTACCAGCACTGAGGTAAAACTCTGTCAATTCCGTAACTTTCGAACACCAACGAATGCAAATGAGATTTAACTAATCCCGCGCATACTGTAATATGTAAGCAGTCCAATGATCTCATTGACAGGTTCAATATCTCACTTTGGGGTTCAACATAGATTTTTTATGATTGCTCATAAAACCTTGGAAATGTTAGACATTTTGAGGGTACACTGGTATAGATTTATACATGTTATATAAGAACAAATTTTTAAAGGTATAACAAATTATAATATTAATTAAGGCCCTAGTTATAACAGCTATTCACACTTGTTGAAGAATATATAACAATAATTATTATTTTTATACATGTAGTATGTTAGATAGTGTATTGTTGAATTTTTGCATTTTTTTTTTTTTTCAATAAAAAAAAATAAGTCTTGGTGAAATTACATGCTCTCATGCATTTAAATATAAGGTAAAGCAATGGGGATTTGACAATGTCATGTCAGGGCTAACAGACAGACTGAACCATAAAATAGATAACATACATCAGTGTTTGTGCGTACATTTATACATTTGCTGGCATATACATGTAACATTAGTGCTGTAAGCAGCTGTTAAATTTTAGATAAGAAAAATTCTAACCTTCATTTCCATGGTCAACGCCAATCATATATTAAAATGTCACCGTGAACTCTTTCATCACTCGCTACATTTATCACAGAAAACTCCGACACAAGACTGTTCATCGCTGTTAATGTGATCGTCAGAATTTCCTCGTAAACAATTTGCGCAAGAATATATATATATATCCCTTTAAAACTAATGCTCCCTGTACGCAACAAAGGATTTTATGTGCTTCGTAGATGTGGATTAAACGTGCATGTCTACATACGGCTCGTACGTTAAGAAAATGTACAACTGTCACATATTTTCTTCTCATTTTCTCAATTTCTGTCTGTAATACCGACTTGCATGGCTACTTCCGGGGACGTACTAAAGACTTGATATACTAAAGAACCTGATATTCGACCTGATGATTTTTCAAAAAATAAAAATAATCAGATTGAGTGTTATACATGATTTATTTTTAAAAATTATTGATTATGAAGCATTATGCTATTATATACTAAACTACACTTTTTTTTTAAATATTTGCCAACAAAGCATCAGATCATATCACGTTTTTCGTATATCGGGTCTTTAGTGTCTTCTTCCCACAATGCCGCTCGTGATTGTTTACATCCAGGTTACAAACAAGAGGCCCCGATTAAGACTCTTTCTATACGGATGCATTTGTAAATGTTGATTTACCTTTACTTGTGTAAATTAATAACTTGCATTTATAAACGATTTATATAACAGAAAACAGAGAAATCGAATCAAAACAATTTATTTAAAACACAACAACTATCTAAAACCGTACAAGCATGTGTTACGATGCCCTAAAAGGCGTGGCTGGTTTGTAGACAACTTGTTCCTGTACGATTCTCGAATAATTATCATATAAAATAGAATAAAATATAGCACGGAGCTTGTTTCTCTTTATACCACATGACAAGATTTAATATGTTAGAAATTATGTCATTCAAACTTTTTCATAATATTTTCATATTTTTAGCTATCCAAAAAATACTTTTATGACCTGCTGTCCCCTGAATATAGGGGCCAGCCCCTTTTTCTTGATGTTATCTGAAAGCTCTCGTAATTACACACAACTTTTATTCTATATGTCTTACCAAATTTTTATCAGTTTAAAAGTTATGAAACAAAAAGCAGCAAAATTTCATGGAAAAATAATTCTTAAAACTTGCCGTCACATAGCTTCCGAACTTAAAAAAATTAGCCTACAATTTAAATGTTCTGCGCATCTGCAATGTATTAATTACAAGTTCTCCAGTTTTCATGCAAATATCATGTGTCGTTATTGAGAATTCTACTGGACAAGAGACCCTCCAAATATCGATTAAAGGGCAATAACTCATGAACGGGGGTATATATCAAAAATTTGAAAAAACCGTTTTTAGGCAATAACACATTGTATCTACCCTGAAAGTTTCATAGCAATCGGACAAAAGGTCTCCGAGAAATCGCCTGCTGAAAATCGGCGGGAAAAAAAATATAAAATAATAATAAGAAACAGTAGAATAACAGTAGGGTCTTCCGAAGGAAGCTCGGAAGACCCTAATAAGAAAAACAGTGGAAAAGAAACTGAAGAATAACAAGAAGGTCTTCCGCTGAAGACGGAAGACCTTAATAATCTTAACCATCAGAATCAGTAGAAGGTCTTCCGTTGGAAACGGAAGACCTTAAAAAAAAGAATAATAATCTTAACCCTCAGAATCAGTAGAAGGTCTTCCGTTGTGACGAAAGACCTTAACAATACATATCCGTGAACAGGGATAAAACACAGGCCCAGGAAATGCCAGAGGTGGGATCGGGTGCCCAGAAGGAGTAAGCATTCTCTATCAACCTGTCACACCCGCCGTGAAACCTAAGTATTAATCAGGAAGACAGAATCAAATGTGGTGTAAAAACAAAAGCCTAACAATTGATATACAACATGTCAGTCAAAATACAACCCAATGATAGGTTTTATTTGCTAACAAGGTCATTATAACCACCAGCAAATTTATTTTCTTTTCGTTTTATAATTGCGTATTTTGGATCAAAGGGTTAGCTGTATTTGAAATATTGAAAACAAACAATCTTAATATCTTTTGGCCAGGTACGAAGAAATGTTCAGGATATGAGGAAAATAACGCAATTCTTCATGTCATACCGCATTGCCTAGCGAAAAAAAATTACATTTTCAAAAAATATGCAGACACCTAGGGTCCAAGTGATATTTAATGCATTGTCAACGAAAACTACACAGTTTTGATTTTTCAGAAATTCACGGGGCCAAAAAAGGCCCTAAGTGAACCTAACCCTTTTTTAGATTGTTTTGTGATCTTAATAATATATACCAGGAAAAAACACTTGTCAAACTGCTTAGTTTTAGTTGACACTGCATTGAATATCACTTGGATCCTTGGTGTCTGCATATGTAATGGAAATGACGTAAATTTTGGTATCCAGTATAGGTACAGTAAATCAAACTTACTTCCATTGACTGGAATGTTAAAATTATTTAAAACTAAAACTAAAGGTGATTTTGAAGAATTCCATCTGATGAAAGTGAACTCTGAGTATAGGATGGATTACCAGATGTGGAATTAAAACTGTGTTCTAAACTGCAGTTGTATTAACGGGCTTTACAAACTCTTTTTAAACAAGCTTTGTCAGCTGGAACCAAAACATGTTGCATCTTTTTTTTTAAATAATTGAAAACGTTTAAAGTGCGAAATATTTTATTTTGAAATCAATATGAGATCGTTAGTCAATGATTGGTCGTGTGGTATTCTTCTTTAAGGATGTCTCTGTTTTGACTTCTGGACTTGCAGAAATGATGTTGTATTTCAAAGAGATAATTTGTTTACTAACTTTGCTTGCAATCAGCACCGTACCTGTCCCGTGTATGTCAGGTATTCCAGTAATGACTTTGACCAGAGATCCGACCTATAGTGAATTATTACCGACACATACGCGATACCAGATAACCTCTTTACAAAATATCAGTCTTATGGACAGCGTTTTTGGGTGTTTGCTACGTTATCCTTCATGTGTTGGAATCCTGCACAACGCTAACATTCGCTTATCTTTTCTTCTGATGTGCTATCTCAATGAAAGATCGGTAGGAAGGACAAGGAAAGTGCCTGGGTGGATATTTCTCTCTGACTTGAACGGTACTTGAAAGATTTTATTCCTTAACTTGTATTATTTCTCTGGAAGGATTTCAGGAAATAAAGCAGGAAATCAACAAATTGTATTCGTTTTATGATCTTTTATAAAAAACACTCAATATTTTGATACTTAAAACGCTAGGAATTCTGAGCAGAATGTAAATACTGGATTTTAAAAAAACTGTGTGATCTTTTCCAATCTAGTCTAAATAGCATAACGCAGTTTCATAAATCTTATGGCGTTTTTAAACCTCCCCTTTAAATTCCTAAGAAAACAAATTTTTGGATGTTTTGCGAGAGAGATACAGATCAATGCAAGATGAGACTTATTGTCATTCATTCCTGATAATCTGTATCACAGTAAAAAAAAAAATAGCTTAATAAGATATATTGATAAACACTTTGTAATAAAGATCAGTGATATTTGATTAATTGTTCAAATAAACATCTGATATTTCTATTATTTGTTTAAATTTCTTGATTTTGACTTCATGATTAAGCATTTTATTTTCACTGTGGATAAAAATTTAAATCTTTTTATTTCAGTTTGCCTTAAAGGATGGGTACCTTTTTCTGGTCATTGTTACCTTCACGTTAAAAACGAAACAGATTGGAAGGATGCAAAGGTAAAAAAGAACCAATAAAAATATTTGAATACAATAGTGTGAAACAATTCAAAATATTTCATGGTCTTAAGGACAGGAGGTCACTTTGGAATGTCTGGAGTTTCTTACTGGTTCTTAGGTTCATCCAAATGTTTTGTAAATGGAATGCTTTAAACAAAATATAATTTGGCATGAAGTTATCTTTTGTAAGACAACAGTGGTAAACACAAAACTTCACGGGTTTGGTCTTCTGTTCTTATAACCGGTCGCTGTAGTCTAGTGGTAAGGTGCTCGCTTCTTGATCGAAGCCTATGTATATGTGATGGGTACACTAGAGTCAAAAGGTGGCATTTTGTTCTGAATTAAGCGCTGCTAAAATGTCCTCAATATAGTGTGTTATAGTTTCCCATATTTTTGGATCAGTTTATTAATATAAAATCACAATCAGTCATAAGAAACATATATATAACATACAGTGTATGTTTACAGACACGTAGTACAAGGGGGAGAGAGTGGCTGCCCTTCCTTCCGAAGAAACATATATATAACATACAGTGTATGTTTACAAACACGTTGTACAAGGGGGAGAGGGTGGCTGCCCTTCCTTCCGAAAATTGCCATTTGCTGTATGTAGTATGGAAAGTCTACATATGCATACAACAAAAGACTTCCATTTTCTGCAAATTCAAGAACATTGCAATTTCACAAAGCCTGCTTTTAATACATGGAATCTCAGGGGAAACTTTGTTATAGAAAATAAAGGTGCCAAGTCTCAACTTTATATTGTAGTTTTAAATGGGACATATGGTCTTGACCAATTATTGGTATTTTTAAATAACTTAATTGTGATTGTAACGCGCCATTTGATTGGATAAAAAATTTACTTTAAATCGTATAGATTGTGTTGCCTACGTCACAATGACTTGCGTCAAAAATGTATCGATCCGCCTGTCGTTACATTTAAATTTTGTACAATTTAAAGTCATTTTTTAAGGGCAATCATTTTTTTTTTCTTACATTAACTGAATGAAAATTAAATTATAAGGAATGAAATTAATAGCTACCCAATTTATACGGTATAAAGTGGATTGGAACAGTTCACGGTTTATAAAGCGTAAACTGCCCCAACCCACTTTATACCGTATAAATTGGGTAGCTATTAATTTCATTCCTTAAATAAAGTGAACTCTTTTCATTGAAAGGCTGTTTGAGCCTCTAAAATTATGATATAACTGCTGTATTCCTGATTGATTATTATTGCTGAAATAATAAAAAAAAAATTCATCGACCTTAAGTTTCGAGAAAAAAAAAATTACTTAACCTAATGTAATATATGCATGTTTTATTAACAGCAGTTCCTTTGCATGGATAATGATTTCCATGAAAGTTTCATGAATTCGCGGAAGCATTAAAATCCCACTTTTAATATCCCTGATTGATTAATAATGCTAATACGTAAAATTTTTCGACCATAACTATCACAAAACATTCACGGAAATCATGTATACATTTCACTGAGGTTAAGGGACTATGATCTTTGATAAACATTTCTATGAATTTTTCACGGAAATTATTACAATTTTCGTAATTTAAAGATCGACATATTTTATGAGGATTTATTTATCGAACATCAAAATTAAATTTACAGCAAAACAATTACATCATTCTAGTACTCTGTTTTTGTGCAGACCTATAGTACCGGTAGGGGAGGGCAGACCACTTTTTTAGAATTGTCATGCCGTAGATATACTGTGAAAAATTACGTTTAAAGTCCCGTCCCCCTCCTTTTGTAGCAGTAATGTCGAATTATGCCATATATGTTTATGAAAATCATTATCTCCCCTCTTCCATATAAGATTTTTTAGCTTAATTGCATGGGCCGTTAAGATTTATTTTGGGGTTTGTCAATTAATTTTGTGCCCCCCCCCCCCTCTTTCTCAACGTTGAAAACGAAATTTCACTCGGCCTGGTTTTTAGCTCAAGTATATTTTAGGGATATCAAATTGGTCAATTTTTGACAATCGGTTACTCGGACGTTTTTCCGATCGAGTACCCGGGTACTCGGTAAAAGTGTAAATACAAGTGTGTTAATTTTCTTGAGACCCGTTAAACCCCAAGGCTGTTTTTATCACGTTTATAAATGTACTATATAAACACCGATTCCAACGTAAATGATTTTTGGCACTAAATTTATTTATCAAATAAACACAAAAGACATAATTATTAGATACAAAATTACAAATGGTTTACAGTTCTTGTTTAGAATATATATTTCATCGAAAGGAGGACACCCTGTTACGCAGGTTTGTGATGATTAGACTAGCGAAAGAGAAGCAACGGACGTTGTTGGGATCGCTAGTCTAATATTATAGTAAGTTTAGTCTAATATTATAGTAAGTTTAGTGTATAAGGGGAAACAATTTCATATGTTGATTGCTTCCTCCGTATACTATGGTGTCCGGATAGGGCCATTTGCAAAAGCTCAACAGCGCGTTCAGAAAAACACGCCGTCATGCTAACACACAACACGCCATCGCGCTAACACATCATTGAACAACACGCCGTCACGCTAACACAAGTTCGCACAACACGCCGTCGCGCTAACACACAACTCGCCGTCGCGCTATCAAAAAGTTGTGTTAGCGAGTTGTGTGACAGCGCGACAGCGTGTTGTGTAAAGTTGCATTAGCGCGACGGCGATGAGATAGCGAATAGTGACCATTATCATAAAATGTATTAACAATGAAAATTGAAAAAAATGCATATCAGACGGACCCCTAATAACACCAGAGTCGGGATAAGGTGCCAAGGAGAAGTAAGCATCCTCTGTCGACCAGTCACATCCGCCATCTTTGTTCTAAAGTAAACGGATGTCAAAATTGGAATGACTCCTCTGTCAAATAAAAAACTTGAAATTCATGTTTTTTGGGGAATTAAGTTCATAAAACTGCCGCGTGCATCCTGTTTTTGTATTCGAAAATTATATTCCAAAAAATGATAAGTTTTTTATATAATTGTTTGGCTTGTTTACTTCTTAAATATCACCAATTAAACGATGAAGAATCACTAGACTACTGAAAAATGGATGAAAAAATTCTGCAATAAGCTCTAATTCCATTCTTTATCATCATTCAAGTTCATATATGTACTTTGAATTATTGTTTTTGAATTTACTTTTAATAAGAAAGATATGAAAATTCTGAAAGTACTCATAAAACATCACGTTATTTTTGTTTTAATTCTGGAATCAAAGCACACACACACACACACACACACACACACACACCCTCACACACACACACAGAGAGAGAGAGAGAGAGAGAGAGAGAGATTATAATTATGTACATCATAACCATAACGTCGGGAAGTGCATTTCTTTTGCTTCATTAATCAATTTTTCAACCTACTCCACTTTATCTTCAAATTATTTATTTACGTGGACGATTTGTTGGCATTTTCAGGATATTTGCAACAGAAGTGATGCCTACCTACTTCAGACAGAAACACATGAGGAAGCCTTATGGGTTACAGAGGCATTTCTGCGACCTGTAAATGTTGGTACGGAACATTGCACTTCAAGATTTATCAAATCGGTTTTTTTAAATCTTTTTTTTTTTATTATCAACGACATAAAGTATGTTTTATTTCTAGGCAAACATTATTATATTCTTCCTGAATGCGTTTAAACGTCGATCATAATGACTTCAAAAATCTATTTAGGTCTACATGGGTTTCTTATTCGAGTTGGATAGGGGCTAATGACTTTAGCTAGGGAAGTCATATAAATATCTTTTGTTTCAGTTGAGTGTACTACTTGGGATTCTTGTTCGAGTTGGATAGGGGCAAACGACTTCAGCCAGGAGGGTTTGTATTCCTGGAACCATGGATCCGATCAATTCAATGCTACATTTTGGTACCCTGACCAACCTAACAATTATGCCGGTGATCAAGACTGTGCTGCTCTTACTCGTTCTGCGCAACTGAATGACAAAGAATGCTCTTTCAAGTACGAATTCGTCTGTGAAAGAGACTTATTCATTTAAATAATTAAGATTTCTCCACAGCAAAAACTCAATGTAGAGAAAGCTATTCCATCATCTCCATGATTTCCATTGAGGTCGGTTTACTGTATAACCAGATATGCAGGATACATGTACATGTTTTGCTTATTCTTAATGTCTCAAACATCATTAAAGATATATATCTTCCAAAACAATTTAAAGTCCACACCTTGTATTTCTTAAAAATATACATCGACTATTGCTTCCGAACTTTTTAATTACAAAAAAGAAAACTCTATAGTGCCTAGATATTGAACATCTGAAACATAATCCTCCAAATTTGAAGTGTTCATGTTCTTCTTAGCCTACAAGTATATTCCTGTTGGACACGATTGGGGAACCCTGATCTTTCAACAGGCATCACAGTTTCATAAATATTATGAATTCTGTGGAAGATAACCCCAAGCGATGGCCAAACATGAAAAGGAAGACCTTCCCACTTTGTCAGAATTGACTGAAAGAATCATCTCGTATGAAGCGATTGAGGGGCAATAAGAAAACTATCTATTGTCCTGTCTTCGATAATTCAGAATAGAAAAAAAGAAATTAGATACATGTAAGATTTAAATTAGTTTGTACTGGTCCCAACTGACAAAGCAGGTTGCAACAATGTCTTTGTTTGTAAGGGTTATTATTTTAATTGTATCTTAGAAGAACTAGGATTTAATTCCGCTAGTGCTATTCCATCTAATACCCGTAGCTCCCTTTCCAAGGAGGAAATTCTTCAAAATCACATGTCAGTTTTAGATATTTTTAATATTCCCAACAATCAAAATGGATTTGAACTGGATCCCTAGACTTTATAAAAATCTTTACAAACAAAGATACATGAAGGGTCCAATAAATGTTCTACCAAGCCTCTCTCTTTACTCCTCACTAAAATATTAACAGCATTGAAAGAGAAACTTCAGGAGTACTGTACAACAATATATTCTAGAAGTGGTGTAAATCAGATGTGGATACTTAAAACCTCCAAGGAACTTTTAGAAAATTTGAAATCACAAAATTTTACCATAATCAATGACATTAAAACGAATGACTTTTCAACACTTTATACAACCATTCTCTACTCTCTACGATAAATTAAAGTCCAGGAGTTTTTACATCATGGACAGCTGCTTTTTCAATAAAAATGGAACTCGTAAATTTACTTACCTTGTCATTGGTCATTTACAAAATAATTTGTTGCCCGCGTGGCGCAGTGGTTAGAGCGTCTGCTCTAGAGTGCTGATTCTTACGTCGCGGGTTCGAATCCACTGCGGGACGTGGAGACCGGTCCTTTGGATGAAACCGTATAAACCGAGGTCCGTGTCGTAGTAGGTGTTGGCACGAAAAAGATCCCTCACTGCTCAATGGCCCTGAGTGCCGAGTACAGGTATAAATTTGGAGCCCTCCCCCGGCAAGTGGTGGCGTCTCCATATAAGTGAAAGATTCTTGAGAGGGACGTTAAACAACAAACAAAACAAAACAAACAAAATTATTTTGTTAAAAAACATTCTGATTGTACACACAAGTTGATATTAAGAAGATGCTTGAGTTTCTGATTGACAATATCTATGTAGTTTTTGGAGATCAGGTCTTCCAACCATCTTCCCCCATGGTTACCAATTGCGCCCTGTTATTAGCAGACTTTTTTATATTCATATGACGCAGAATTTATTCAAAAACTTGCACATGACAAGAAGAAAACATTTGCTGTGGTCTTCAACTCAGATATATCGACGACGCATTATCAATTAACAATACTTAATTCCATTCATACATTGACTCAGTCTATCCCAGCTGCAGTGAACTTGAACTAAAAAGATACCACGGAATCTGACACATCTGTTTCCTATATATTTTACTAGAAAAGACGTTAATGGTAACCTAACAACAAAACTTTATGATAAACGTGATGACTTCAACTTTTCTATCGTCAACCTTACTTACTTATGTAGCAATATATCCTTAGCACCTGCATATGGGGCTAATGTCTCCCATTTGATTCAGTATGCACGAGCATGCTCTACGTACGAGCAATTTCTAAAGCGAGGCAAGTTATTGACAAACAAATTGATGAAACAAGAATATCAACAGTCTTGTGTAAAGTCATCATTTCGCAAGTTCCGTGGTCAATACAATGACCTTGTCAGCAAATACAATCTATCATTAACTTGAATGCTAACTGACGTTTTTCAAGCTAATTATTAGGCCATTGTTTACACATCGAATTTACTACGGATTTTTTTCCGTTCTCCCGATCATGACAAGGAGCACACGTGTCCGGTCGGGGATGCTTACTTCTTCATGGCACACCTGATCCTACCTCTGATTATTTAGAGGTCATTCTATGCTCTGCTCCCGATTTGTATTTTGTCTATGGACTTTTGAGCTTGATCACTGTTCGTTATCTCCATATTTGATTTTTTCGACAAACAGCGCATAATTGTATCACAAACTTTAATCACATAAGAAATGTTAAATCCCAATTTAATAATATTCAGTAGCGATAACACTTATTTCTCACCAATATAAGTGTGTCCGATGCCTGGTGAACTTACCTTACACGGGCATTCGTAAGGAAGACAAATGAGACATAGTAGTCCCTTGAGGTAGATGAACTTCTTGATTTCAGCAGTATTGTATTAGTTTAGAAAAACTGTCCGAGGCAGCCCCAATTCGGAACGAGTGGGAAGTGTAACGTGAATTTGAAAGAGCTAAATGATGTATATATTGCTTTATTAAGGATTGACGTAAATTGAAAACGGGTAATTAAGTGGGCTGCCGTCTATGTGAACAAAAAGCAGACCATTAATTGGACTGACAGATAAATATCTTAGCAAATGAAATAGGGGGCATATAACTGGCATAGGTGACTCGTTCAACTGAATTCTTGAACCATTTCCTGTTTGGTCAGTCTTGGAATATAGAACTGTTAACCTTAATACTTTCTTATTCAATGACTGATCGAATAAAATTTGTATATCGTTGATAACATGGTGAATGTCACCTGTTTTATTGCATGTAAATTCACCGGCTCTCAAAAAGGCATGGTACGCTAACGAAAAGGCAGAGCAAAATAGATATGTTTCAAAATTAGAGGAGCACACTAGACTTGAACTTGGTATGAGCTTTTTCAAAATGTTTTCGGTAATTGGTAAACGACGGTCAACTGATTTACGGGAACGTTTTATACCTTCTAATAATTTTCTATCCAGAAAGCATTGTGTATAGTCAGTGGTACCTGTCAACTTGCATCTAAAACTTATACCAGATAAATAAGATGACTGTGCTATACGCTAAATCACGAAGAGACGAGTAAGCGATTAATATACACAAACCCCAAATATCATCTAAACCGTAGTCCTTCCTGAAAGTAGAAAATATCTTTAAACTATTTGTTAATGAGTACTGTAGTTTCGTGTTTGGGGCAATAGACTTAAGCGTTAAATGCACTATTTCAGCTCTAATATCATCTTTGTGAAATCTTCTGGGATGGGTATAGGATCTTTGTCCGCCGCTTCTGGTGCGAGTGCCCGGAATATTTTCTACTGTTTTCGGGAAATAGAAACAGCGATTGAATTATTGCAACCACAGATATGTTTTGCTTTAAAAAAACATGTTGTTAATCATTGAATGGAGCACTAGAGGACGCACTAATTCCATTACTATTTTAGATTTAGATGTCTTCCTATTCAGAATAGATACTAAAGCAATGTTGTCTGTATGAAATATTATTTTTTTTTCTTTTTTGGAAATGATTTTTGAATAACAGGACTGCCAGAACTATTGGAACTAATTCTAAGAAAGTTATATCAGATATTATGTCTGAATCCTGCCACTGGGTGGGCCATAGAATATATGCCCAATGCCCTTGTAAATAAACGCCGCAGCCAAGTTGTGCATTTCCTGCGCTGTCTATGTATAAGTGGAGCTCAAAATTTGAAAGCCAATTAATCTCTAAAAAATTGAAGGTACCGTTGAATTGTTCGAGGAAACTTAACAAAACCTGTAGGTCGCACTTCATACCAGCACTAACCCTTGTAAAATGAGACGAATGTTTAATACCACACATGGCATCACAAAAACGACGATTAAAGGCACGTCACGAGCTGCAGGAATGGCTTTAGCGCAGAAATTCAGAGAACGTACTAAAGACTGTAGCTCTTTTAATCTTATTTTAGTTTTTTCCAAAATTGTTCAATTGTTTTCTTAAGTTCAATGGTTTTTTTCTCTGGTATACCTATAACCATTTTTCTCTGTTAATTTCTAAACCGAGAAAAACGAACGAATGTTTAGGACCAACAGTATTTTCCTCTGCTAGCGGAATGCCAAATTCATGACAAGTATTTTGAAAGTTAGTCATTAATAATTTACATGCTTTGAAATCTCTAGCAGCGAAAATAAAATCATCTAGATAATGGTTTATCGTTTCTATGCCTGTTTTTCTAATAGTAACCCACTGTAAAAAAAAAAAAAAATAAGCAAATTTTTCCCAAAGGGCACAACTTGCAGAACAGCCCATAAGGAAACACATATCATAATAAAACTTGTTATTGAATTTAAAACCTAACAAGTAATAGCTTTTCAAAAAGCTTGTCTGACTAATCAATCAATATCTGTGGAACGTATATGCAGGAGAGGTGCTAAACGTTTCCGTCATCAAGGAGCGACATAGTTGCGATACTTCATTATACAAGATGTACAGTTGACATTCTCAAATTTCATAACCAAATACTACAGATTAACGAATATCTGAGACATGCCACTATTTGGTCATTTATTAGTTAGCCCACGGGCTGACTAGTTACGTTGGGATGAAACTGCAAGTGCGCTATAGCGTAGATTATAATCAAAGGCGGATCCAGCACAGGCGCGCCGGGCGTTCGCCCCCCCCCCCTCCCCCCGTTTGAATTTTTTGTATGTAGAACTTATATGTTCATTATCCTAAAATCAAGGAAAAAACACCTCTTATCTGTAAGAATTCGTCAGCTTCCGGGGGCGAATCAGAGCTTTGCTCTGGACCCACTGGGGTTTCAATACAGCCCCCCAGACCCCATGCCTTCTACTGCGCCCTCCCGTTATGAAATTCCTGGATCCGC